CTAAGTCATTTCTTTAAAAAAAATTTTTTTTTATGTTTTATTTATTTCTAGGAGAGAGAGAGACGGCGTGAGCAGGGGAGGGTCAGAGAGAGAGGGAGTCACAGACTGAAACAGGCTCCAGGCTCTGAGCTGGCTGTCAGCACAGAGCCCGATGCGGGGCTCTAACCCACTAACCATGTGATCATGACCTTAGTTTAAGTCGGATGCTTAACTGACTTAGCCACCCAGGCACCCTGTTTTCTAAGTCATTTCTGATGCTCCCTCTCAGACCTCTGCCCAGACCACTCCACAGCCTGGATCACCACGTAGACCAAGAATTTCTTGAAGGCAGGGATTCTTTGTAAAGCCCTAATATCAAGCACAGTCCTTGGCCCACAGGATGTTCTTCATAAATATTTGTCGAGTAAATACAGATATCGATGGAGGAGAAAGTAAAAAGATACTAAAGACCTGGATGTTTGGATAAAACAACTAGTAAGAAGGGTAAATGTTAACTTCCTAACATATCAAAGGCTAGCTTGTGGGGAGACAACATATATAAAATAATAATAACACCTAACTCTTATCAGGAGTTTATTACGTGTCTGTCACTGTGCTAAGCAATTTATATGCATTATCTCTTTCACAGCAATCCTAAAAGGTAGGTATAATTATTATTCCATTTTATAGATGTGGAAACTGAGGTTCAGAGAAGTAAGGTAGCTTGCCCACAGTCACACAGCTGAGAAATGGTAGAGCACGGTCTCAAACCCAAGCAGTCTGAACACAGACTCCCAGTGCCATAGTGATCCAAAATCCCGGGGCACCTGGTGGCTCAGTCGGTTAAGCGTCCAACTTGGGTTCAGGTTATGATCTCAGTTAGTGAGTTCAAGTTCGAGCCCTGAGTCAGGCTCTGAGCTGTCAGCACAGCTTAGGATTTGGAGCCTGCTTTGGATTCTGTGTCTCCCTCTTTCTCTGGGCCCCTCCCTGGCTTGTGTTCTCTCCTCTCCCCCTCCCTCCCTCTCTCCCCCTCCCTCCTCCCCACCTCTCTCAAAATTTCAGAAACTGAAGTGCCTGAACACTGAACACTGCATCAGATCCTTATCATGGCTTTTCTTTCCCCTTCCCCACATGCCACCCCCCACACCCAATTTAGACATTTCTCCAAATGTTCCCAGACAGACAGTGATGCTTCATCACTCCTTTTTTTCCAACCTCAACCCCATCTTCAGAAGTATGTGATTCTCGGGGCGCCTGGGTGGCTTAGTCGGTTAAGCGTCCGACTTTCGCTTAGGTCATGATCTCGCAGTTTGTGGGTTCGAGCCCCGCGTCGGGCTCTGTGCTGACTGCCAGCTCAGAGCCTGGGGCCTGTTTCAGAGTCTGTATCTCCCTCTCTCTCTGACCCTCCCCTGCTCACACTGTCTCTCTCTCTCTCTCTCCTAGTAATAAATAAAAATATTTAAAAAAAAAAAAAAAGAAGAAGTATGTGATTCTCCAACCCATCCTCTCCCAGGAACCCTCCCTCACCAAGTCAGCATCAGAGACAGGGAAGACCGGTTTCATTAGAAACCCTTAGCAAGATTCCCCACCTTTGAGGGATGCCCCTGAGATCCACTCCTCTACCCACAGCAATCTAAGCATCCCTCACAGCCTTCTCCAGAGAGCCCCCTTCAGGGTCCTGCAGCCCAGGGCTCTGTTCTCCCTAACCCCACCCCAAGCCTCCTTGTTGTCGCCTAGTCCATTTGTGTCTCCTGGCACCTTTCAGTAGTTTTCCATTATGTGAGCTGACTGAAGCTAATGGGAGGGCCTAAGATCAGGGGTCCCAAGATGACCAACCTTTTCAACCCTCAGTAAAGCTCGTGGTAAAGGCTGAACTTCTGAGCACCAGGCCTGATTTCCATGGTGACGCCCCTGGGGATTGTTGCCATGGTAATGTTGGAGAGACACTGGCCACGGTGAACATTACCTCCCCTCTCTGTTTTCCTTTATGAGACTCCCCCAAAGCTAAAGGGAGACCTGCTCCTCTTCTTCAGATATCGGAGGAATCCTGGACCATCCCAAACAATACTCTTATCCAATAATCCATCAGGTTCCAACCTAGCTTTTCCAAGTAAGGCACTTGATAGTCCTGGATTTTTGCCTGCTTTTCCAAATTGAAGTACTTGATAGTCCTGGACTTTGCCTGCCCACTAACCCATTAGGAGACCTAAGGGAGGAAATATAGTGGACACTTGAATGAATGAGGGAGACAGCTACAGGGAGAGGGAGAGAGAGTGCATTGTCTTCTCTTACTGTCATCCTTCCCGTGTCTGGTATAGAGGCAACAGCCCAGACAGCAGCCACCAGGACCCTTTGCCCACCAAGACCAAGGCAGAGAGACACTTAAATGGGTCCAGTGAAAAAGTCACACTGGATTCTGAGTGACACAGAGAGCAAAATAAGGTCCACAGCACACAGACAGTGACCCAGACACCCGTCTACTATGACTCAGGCCATTAACTTTGGCTAAGTCCCATCCCCCAGATTTCTGGGAGAAGTCAGGGGAGTGGGGGAGGGATAAGGCTGAAAGAGCTATCTTTCCAGCTTATTCTCCTACCCTTTGCCAAGCAGAAAAAGCCCACGAACACTAGGGACTCTGAAGCCCAGAGCTAGCCGCAGTGCCGCAGAGGCAGAGAGGAGAGCCATTAGAGGAAGGAGCAGGGGCTGCATTTGGAGAGATTATTGTCTCCCCCTTCACTCTTCCCTCACCTTCCTGAAGCAGCTTCCTCCATTAATTCTTCAGATGTTGGGCTCCAAAGGGAGCTCGAGAGGAAAGAGGAAAGGGGGTAGGGGATTTCCTCCCTTTGGTGGGACTCAAGGGTCATTTCAGAATCCCTTCTCCTATAGCTTCCTCCTCCCAAATGAGCAATGAACAGTCAGGCTGGGAAGGCAAGCTCCAAGGACGCTGCCTGAGACAAAATGGCCCCCCAATAGCATCTATCTCTGCCGGAAAGATTGACAGGAAGGGCTTGGGCAAAGGAAGATACACAATGAGACAAAGGTGCAGCCCTGCACATATCAGGCAAAACAGACAAGGAGGGACCCGCTGTGGCACTAAGATAGAATCTGAATTGGCAGAGGGCCCTGTGCCTCTCTTCGTCTCTCCCCCTTCTCCACCTTCTACTGTGTCTTTCCTATTTAGCGAGCTGGACAGCTCAATACCTCTGCTCCTTCTCCTGACACCCTCTCCCCCATGCCCAACGCCCCATGACCGCCACACCAGGATGGCCTGAGAGCCTAAAGGAGTTTGTTCAGACTTACCTGAAAAAACGAAAGCAAGGAAACTAGGCTTCACAGTAGAAGCCTTTTGTGGGTGGGCTCTCTCATGACCACCTCCCTCCTGTTTCTCAGCCTTCATACCTCAGGGGACCGTCAAGCTCTAACTCTCGCAGCTAATACCTGCTGTCCAGACTACTTGGAGAGGAGCCCCCAGGCTGATTCCCCAGACTGACCAGACTGTAAAGCCTAAGGCCCTGGAGGCAAAGAGAGACAGGAGCCCTCTCTATGTGGTGAACACACATGTGTAAGCACACACACAAGGCAGAAGCACCCATTTGAGTCCAGTTGGTGGGAGCTGAGCATGGTGACAGACTGGGGCCTTAGGGGATAGGACATATAAGCAGGCTCTTCTTAAAGTAGGTTTATTCAAAGTCCCATTCTCACTGATTCAGAACGCTCATGCTCCCTACCCATCTTAATTTCTTTAATAAGCATGCCTTGTGCCAAGCACTGTGGACCAAATATAAACAGTGCCCCTGACCTTGACGGCGGTCCTCATACGTGCCTCTCCCTTCTCAAGTTGGCTACAGTTTCCTGGCCCAGCACCCCTCAAAGCCCTACAGGATTCGACCCCCAGATCCTTTCACCCCATAGTCTAACATCCCTACCAACCTCGGGAAGGAGGGGTGGGTGAAGAATTCTCTAGGAATTCCCTTTGGGCCATCACAGATAAAGGTCCAGAAGAGAAATCTGTAGAGGCCGTGTGATACAGAGGAACAGCTATGAGATTTGGAGTTACAGATTAAGGTTCAGATCCATGAATTAACAGTGTGACCTTGAGAAAGTCATTCAACTTCTTTGGGCCTCAATTTCCTCATCTGTAAAATGGAAATATTAATACCTATTCCAGAGTGTTGTTCTGAGGATTAAAGAATACATGTCAAGTAACAAACCCCAAGTAAACATTAGTTCTCCTTAGTAAGATCTCCTTCATGGGTAGGGCTGTCATGAATAGGTAGAAACGATCTGCTACTTTTCACTGGATCATCGAGAGAAAGGATGAATAAGCAAGTACCTATTAAGACCTCAGGATTTGGTTATTTTTATTTGTTGGGGGGAACTGGGGTGTCTGAAATCCTCTTCCTACTGTACCTGGGAGGGAAAGGCAGACATTTCCTCAGGACCCCAGAGCCCCCTTCCCCGACTGGGTGTGGCATCAATGCATTTCTCAGAAAAACCTTCATCAGATCTGTGCCCTCCACCCTAGTCGAGGCTGCAGCTACTTCAGGGGCTGACGGAGGGCTTGGTCCTAGAGCCCACTCTCATTTATACCTCCGCCCGCAGAAGCCTTGGACTGTCCGCCTCCCATCTAGACCATTCACTCGTCTGCCCCCTCCCTTCCTGGGAGGTGGGGGTAGAGATCTGAGCCAATAACAAAGGGAAGATGCGCTTTCTCTAGGGGAGAGGGAAAACATCAGAAAAACACGGGACCGGCTCTGAGGGGTGAGGACGCTGCAGCGACCAGCAGAGGGGAGTTGGGTCCCCAGACTGCGTGGAAGTAGCCCCCTCCCACTCTGCGGGGACTTGGCCACCCGCCTGGCCAGGCCACACCCAGTCATCCTAATGCAGGGGAGAGGAGGGGCTGCGGCGGAGAGGATGGAGGCTGAGCGGCGGGGAGGGGGCGCCGAGTGACAGCTAGGGTCTAAGACTCGGCGGGGACGGGGGAGAATCTTCCCAAATTTCCCTCCCGGGGCGACACTCACCCCAATAACGACGCTGTCGTCCCCTTGGAAAATGGGGATGAACTTGTCCCCCCGCAGAATCTCGGCCTGGTTCAGGGGCCGAAATCGGCAGAGCACCTTGATGCTACATTCGTTGTTGGTCTCCGCCATGGTGGTCGCCGGCGACAGGCTGGGGCACTTCTCGGGCAGGAGGGCGGTGTGCGCTCCGAAGGAGGGGGGCTCAGATGGGGCCGACGCGGAGGACAGGTGCTCGGTCTCTGGGACCGAGAAAGCAGGCGGGGCGCCCGGGCGAAGGCTGGGGAGCAGGGCCGGGGCGCGCTTGCTCGCTCCTGCGGCACAGGGATGCAGGCGACCTGGGCGTCTGGTCCTCTCTCGGCTCTCTGCCTCTCCGCCCCTCGCGCTGCAGCGCCGCGCTGCGGGCCTGGGCGGGGCGGCGGCGGCGGCGGGGCGGGCGGGGCTTCCTTCGCTGGGGGCCTCCCGCTCGGCGTCCACCCCAGCCTCCCCTCTCGCCTCCTCCCCCACCCCCGAAGCTCCTAGGTAACCTCGCCCTCACCCCTTCCCCACCCAAGTCGCTCGCTGCATCCCAACTCCCCACCTCCCCGGCCCGCCTGGCCCTCCCTCGGACTCCACCTCTGGAATGGATAAGGGGGCCGAGGTGGGCTTGTCGCCTGGGTAGGGAAGAGAGTCAATAGCGCTTGCACCCTTTTTATTCCGGGACATCCTCCTCCCCCACCCCCGCCCCGCCCCTGTCACTGTCCTCTCTCCAAATGGAGAGCACCCGCCTCGTTCCTCATCCCCAGCCCCCTCACGCAGATTCCCAACCCACTCAACTTTCAAGGGCAGCTGCCCGTACCCCTGTGGAGGAGGGTGTCCAGGTCCCATTTTTCAGACAGGAGTGTCAGGGGAGAGGCTAGTCCCATCCCCGACTATACACTCCAGGTCCCCGGTATGAAGGAAGACAAACTCTAATTCTGGGCTATCAGAATTTAAAGGCAGATAAAATTCTCATTTTTGCCTCAGAGGCTGGGGCCAGACAGAAGGTGGGCAGGAGAAGCTTTTGCAAGAGAAAGGGAGTCAGAAAACAGTGAAGGAGGGGTAATGATGAGGGTGGGGAAGGCCACCGGGGCTCTGAGAGGTTTCAGGCAGGTTTAGGTACCTGTGTCCATGTTTCCTGTCCAAGTTACCACTGGTCGGAGTCCCAACACCCCAGCCCCTTTCTCGGGCCTTGCTTTGTTTCTCCCCCTCTCCTGGGGGGAGGGGGGGAAGGGGAAGCCTTAGAGATTCTTTGTCCTTCCTCCCCTCAGGTCAGACTCCTGCTGCAGCCCCTGGGCAGAACCGCCTAGAAGCTGGCCAAATTGATTTTTCTCCACGTCACAAGGCTTGCTGGCCAACAGAGAGTTGGATTGCAGGAGTTGAGGCTCTAGGCCAGGGGGAGGAGTGGGGTGACAGGAGAAGGGAGGAGGGGATGGAAGTTCTGCCTAGCAATTGTCTAAGGTCACTTGGACATTATGAGGCAAGAGTGAGAGAATGGTGGCCTGGCCAGACAAGAACTAACCTCTCAGAACTCAGCTGAGGGCTTCCCCTTGTTGGGCCTAAACCTCCACCCACCTCGAATCTTAAGGAAACTGAAGGAAAAAGGCCCAGCATAAGAAACTGGATGGATGGATGGAAGAGGGGTAGAGGTTTGAGGAGGAGCCAGGAGAATATGCACAGAATGACAATGAGTTCCAATCTCAGGAACATCAGCTTCTCTCCAGTCACTTGGTCTGGCGCTATTTCTAAGTGTTGCAGCATCCTGAAAGCTCAGGAAACATTCTGGAAAACATCCCAAACTCAGGTCCCCAGGGGCTCAAGAGTGGCAGCCTTAGTGGAGTTTCAAAAAATGCTTGTCTTGAAAAAAAAAAGGAAAAAAAAGCAGCTCGTCTCTGGAGGGTCAGGGACAAAAATTTACTGGGTATGCACCCCTCCCCCCAAAAAACCCATCCACACAGAAGCAGTAAGTTTAACATAATGCTAGATTTATTAAGTTTTAAAGGATGGCCTTTCATTCTGAGAGTATGTCCTTCCTACTTTTCTACTAAGAAATGATGGTTATAGTAAACAGTGTTTCTTGTTTTAGAGCAGTAATGGCAAAATTAATTTTAATTTTACTGAAGTGTGAAAATTCAGAAGTCGGAAAACTATTAGTGAAGTGGTTAAGAACACAGAGGGTATTCATGGGGCACCTCTCACCCACAGAGGGTGCCTCAGTCGGTTAAGCTTTGGACTTCAGCTCAGGTCAGGATCTCCAGGTTCCTGAGTTGGAGCCCTGCCTTGAGCTCTTTGCTGACAGCCAGGAGCTTGGAAGCCTGGAGCCTGGTTCAGATTCTGTGTCTCCCTCTCTCTCTGCCCCTCCCCCACTCATTCTCTCTCTCTCTCTCTCTCTCTCTCTCTCTCTCTCTGTGTATATATATATGCTAAAAATACGAAATAAGTTAAAAATATTTTTAAAAAACGAGCACAGAGGGTGTTCAGACATACAGCTACCGTTTACCTATTTATGAACTTGAGATAGGATTGCCAGATTGGAAAAACAAAACAGGATGCCCGGTTAAATTTGAATTTCAGATTAAAAACTATGAGAGAAAGAGAGAGAGACAGAGAGAGAGAGAGAGAATCCCAAAAATGGTGTGGGGTATACTTATACTAAAAACTAAAAACTATTAGTTGTTTATCTGAAATTCAAATTTGACTAGGGGTTCTGTATTTTATCTGATAGCTCTAGCTTGAGATTATTTTTATTAGTAATACGACTAAGACTTTACTAAATTTTACTTGCTATTATTGTTTTTGAAGCCCTTTCTGTGCCACAGCATGACAGATTGATCCAGTCATTTAATTTCTGGGAACTCAAATGAATCATCTGAAAAACAGGAATTCTAAAATACGTTTCATAGACCTGATGTAAAAATGAAAGAAAAGAAGTTGTGTGAAATAACTCCCAAGGCGCCTTATTGTCATTCTCCGTCCAAGCCCCTATCGGCCAAGACTACCAAGACTACATATCCCACAATCCCAGGCTGCGTTTCCCGCCCCCCCCCCTCCCCGCCATTACCTCATTCCCTGCCCTCGTTCACGCCAATCCCGGCTTCTCCAGGGGTGTGGTAGCAGCCTGTTCTCGCGACTTTTGCCTTACCCTTCTCTCTCCCGTGCGATTTCTGTCGCGAGACTTCCTGCTCCTCCACCTCCTCCGCCGCTCCCTTTGCCGCCGCCTTAGCCCGGGACCCGGACCCAGCCTCTCCCTTACCCGAACACCGGCCCGGCTTCACCGAGGCCCCGGTCCCCCAACCCCGCCTCGCCGCCGCCATGGCGGACCCTAAATACGCCGATCTTCCCGGCATTGTGAGTACAGGGCCAGCCTCGGCTCCCCAGGACCTCAACCCCGACCTACTAAGGACCCCCAACAGACACTAACCCGTGACCCCTCCTGCCTGCAGCCCCTCCTCCGCCCCAGGGCTCCAGCCCCTGGCTCCCCGACGGGCCGCAGCACCCTCCGGACTCTTCTGACCCGACTTGGCCCTGCCGCGGAACGGCTTACCAGGCCCCTTTTCCGGCAGTGGCCGGTTTCTCCGCCCAGACATCGTCTCTGAGCGCTTATCACTTGTGCCCGAGTGGTTCTTCCAGCGGTGTCAGCACCACCCGTGTCTCCCCAAATCTCCCCATGAGCCCCCCCCCATCCCCACCCCAAACAGACGTACCAGGCCACTTGGTGATGGCCTCCACCCTGCCAAAGAAGAGGTTACCCTGGCAGAACCCTTCTTGTGCAGATAGAAAATTCTGCCCTGCGGCCAACCCCCCCAGCCCCCGCACACGCCAGCCTCTACCCTCCTATTGTGCTGCCCTGCCTGCATTTTCAAGGGTGGGGGTTGGGTCACAGGACTTTGGGTACTAAGGTCCTGAGTCACTCTAAACCTTTGTGCCAGTGTGCTAGGATAGTGGTGTACAGGCTGTGGCCTAATTCGAAGATAGCCCTCTCCTACTTCTGATATAATGATTGCCAACGGCCCGCCCCCATTCTGATTCAGGTAACATCCTTGTCATCACTTACGCTCAGTCACTTACACTCAGCCACTTACCATGAGGTCCCAGTTGTCCCTGCTGCCATCCCAACGCCTTTAAGACTGGGAACTGACATACAGTTCACTGGGCTGGTGGAAGAAAAGGGACAGAATCTTGGCCTCACAGCCTGCCTTCTCTGTTAGCTTATTCACATGGAGTGGTTCAGGGATATTGGTGAATGCCGGTAATGAGGTAGGGTGGTCACTGCTTCTATCTGCAGGCCAGGAACGAGCCAGATGTTTATGAAACCAGCGACCTACCTGAGGATGATCAAGCGGAGTTTGATGCGGTAAGACCATGTGCTGCTTCAGGACCCCTCTGGACCCTAACCTCTCTCCCCCAGGCAGACCCTTTCCCTTCTCTGGAGAGCCACAGCAATAAGCGGGTATGCCAACCCAGCCTGGGAGGTATGTAGGTTGCACTGAATGATGCCAGGAAAGAGGGTCAAGTCAGTGGAGTCACAACTAACAAGTCCTGATCCCTGGGTCTTTTAAATGAAGTTGAAATAGCTCAAAACAGTTTAGTTTGGCGCTAGTGGTTTTGGTAGACCCCTGGATGCTAATCCATGATAATGAGTCATGAAGTGTGAGCACGTACAAACTACTCGAGGTTAGGAACTAGGCCCTTGATTTCATATAATATTTCACTCAGTACATGTTCATTAGTATCCTACCAAGAGCTAGATTTTGAAGTATAGAGGGATACACTTTTACATGAATACCCAGTATCCTTGGAGCAAAGAGTGAGAAAATGATGTGGAGATTTTAGAAAGATAACAGGTATGGTCAGAACAAAGGAAAAAAAAATGAGAAAGACCATAAATATTTCATATCAGCAAAGGAGGGTCCCTTAGCACTTTCAGATCTAAGATAAACTCTGAGGAAGGAATTAGCTGTGGACACATTTTAGCCATGAGGGAAACCACTTAGCATTGTTTATTGAGTGTGTGCATTCTGTGTTGGTTTTTGTGCAATGCAGAGGATTAAATGTCCCTACCCTCAAGGATTCCCCCCCAGATGAATACAGGAGTTAGGAAACATATAAGCAACATGTAATAAACAAAATTGACTGGATGGAAATCAACATAGTAAAAACTTGTATGTTAAGGAACAAAGGTCTATTAGCAAAGCATGTCTTACAAAATGTGTTTTAGGTTCTATTCCAAAGCGAACTGGGCTAGGATCACATTGATGAACCAGGCTCAGTATGTGTGTCTGTAAGTCCTGTGGCTATGTCTGTGGGGCTGGTTAATCCTGGAGAATGCTGGCTGCTG